CAAAGCTTCTTCAGGATCATCTGCTCATTTTGAGTTTGTGGTGATATTAATATTGAATAAATTATTATTATTATGGTATTTGTGACGAAGTGCCCTTCGCCACTTGGTCCTGGAGAGGCCTGCTTGCCAGCATCCTCCCCTGTGACTATGACTCTTTGATGTATTTGGCTTTAAAGCCCCTATTCTACCTTCAGACAGACTATTTATGTAGGTTGCTTTATTTTTCTTATGTTTTAGTCACCCTGTACCCATTATAGGTGCAGGGTGTGTGTAATGTAATTGTTTATAGTGTGTGTGTGTACTGTGAAATGTATTGCCTGCTCTCCTGTACTGCTGAGGTTTGCTACCAACTAGGTGGATTTGGCTATGGAGCTTGTCTAGTGCCCTCTGTTGGTAGCAACAACAATATGCACTACCTGAATAGCAAGACTGGTTCACTTGCATATTCGGGTAGATTTGCATATTGCTAATTCTGCAGGCATGTGAGATATTTTCTGTTAAATATTGTCTCCCCACCCCTTTAAAAATATGCCATTGTGTTATAATAATCCAAGAAGAAAAAACTCACAGGCACTCCAACTTCAAGCCGCAGGCAGATTTATTATGACAGAATGCAACGCAACGTTTTGACCGGAAAGGTCTTTTTCAAGCTGACACCACATGGTGCAAAATGTGCTTATATAACAAACACTAACAACTAAGAAATCAATCAATCAATTACTGCTAATTAGTAGAAATTCTTAATTGATAAAAAGATAATTTAAAAAGGCATTGTAAAAGAAACAAATATCAGATGTGAAATATTACAATATATACATAAATCAGATAAATAGTGCACACTATATCATTAACTTCATACACACAAGACATGAATCATTCTATGATCATATTAATGCTAGGAATTCTAAAATGTATATATATATAGGATAACCTATTATGTCATGAGTATTCCCTGGTTACAAATACTGTGCCCATAGAGGAGAGAAGAAATACATAAGAAAACAGCAAATAAAAAAAGTAAATACATGCAGCGTATCCTCCATGGTATCCAAACGCGACCCACTTCCGGGTCTGTGAACCGCATGTGACGTCATTGGAACGCACGTGCGAAATCTTCCTCCGAACGGATTGGCTGGAGGACCAAACATAACATCGTTCTGTGTTCAATTCACCATTGCACAGCCCACATAGTGGAGTATGTTCACTCTGCCACATCACTATCCCAAAGTAAATCTTCACAGAACATCCTAATCATTCAGGCATGTTATATGGCACAGATCAATTTATCAAAATAAATCTATTAGATGTAATATACAATATAAGTAAATAAACAGGAGTAATAGTTATTCATATAGGAATACCAGAGATGGATACTTAGAATAATCATTATACCAAATAAGAGCCAATTCCATATTAAAGGTACAGACCTCAAAAGTCAAACACCTATACCTGGCAAAGATTAAATAAAAAAGGAGACAGCAAAGAAAATACTGGGACAGTGAATTCCCATATGGAACATGAGAGTCTGTATATATGAGGACAGAGACTATATAGTCTCATAATATTCTCTCATATATAGGCACAGTCGACATCA